GTTTAAAAATTGTACATTGCAAAAGTCTTGAATGGGCTGCGGTTCAGTAATWTATTTAACTATTTAAARAGAACATCCAATTTATCCAYTACWTACATCAYTTGCGCAAGGRAAGATGTTACAAATTCACGAGTCACATTATTTGCGCAAGGTAAGATGTGTTAACGTCTTTCTTCCCCACAACTTCCAACGACATATAAAGATGTTCTCAGACTCAATCACCACTGCGATACTAACAAATCATTCATATTTTCTCGCAGATATTGAAGACCCYAAGCCTTTGTTTTGTCCACCAAACATGGAAATAAAAAGCGAAAAGAGGTTTAGTATGGTCAAACTGCCGCGGGCAGAGTTCRCTGACAACGTCCGTGTGGCCAGCATCACAACTGACAGACAAAATGGTTCCACMTTATCGTGGGGAGAGCATTACGTGAACTATACTGCATACGATGACGCGGGAAACAGTGCCAAATGTACGCTTAAGATTACCATAACATGTAAGTAGATCAGTTGGTAGAGCTATGGAACTTCTTTGAGACCAATGCTTCACAAAGGAAAAGAGGGTATATATAGTATCGTCTTGTGTTCTCCATTCAATAGACCCCTCGCATGTGATAATTTCTATCTTCTGAAAATTGGAAAGCTATTGCTATGTCCTCCAAATTTAGCTGCATTCCGAAGTGCCGCAAGAGGGCTATGCATAGATCTTATTCGTCTTGGTGCAATGTTTCCCATTATAGGCCACGTGTCTTGCCCTAACAACAACAACAACAACAACACCAACAACAGTTTATTTGCGCTCAAGGAGGAAAGAATTACATGAAACATAAATTTAAAATTGCAAAAACACGAGCACAGCTACCCAAAATAGCTGAAAAGCTAATCGAGTTAGGCAGCTAGGAGGTCAGAAAATTGCAGAATACTATGTTTACAAAAAAAGTAACAAGGATAAATAGCAAATTAAAAAAGCAGAAAAATACAAATTTCATACACAAAAAATACACAGAAAATATACGCACGCACATACACACAAGGAGATACGTCAATACACCAGATTAATATTCATCGAGAAAAGAATTGATCCGATGTTTTTTGAAGCAGCCACGCCCTAGAGAATAAGCTTCTTCGTCTTCAAGACGAATACGGTCTAATGGTTTGCTGTTATGGTAACTGGTGCAGGGGTTAGTGATATTAATTTTGGATTTGTGTTACATGGCAGAAAAATCCTCTTCACTGTGTTTGTACCCATAATCCATCCATTCCAACTTGCAAGTAAAAGATATGGTATTTCTATATTCATCAATCTACTTCTTATTCTTTTTCTCAACTATTTCAATTTTAGCCCCYGGATGTACCAAACCCAGTCCTCCTCTCCACGGAGCTGTTGCCTGTGAAGTCATGGCGGCGGGGATGATGTGTACAGTACACTGCAACCCTGGGTACAAGTTTGTTGCTATGCCTCAACAAGTWTATGTTTGTACTCCTAAAGGAAAATGGTACAATGGCGGACTCTTAAGCAAGTCATTGCTAAGCGTACCTGATTGTTCGGGTGAGTTCGTCTATCAAGTTTTCCGCCTTAGAGAAATTGTTAATTGGTTTTTGCTGTGATTTGGTCAACGGATGTCATCAATTCCGCACCGTGACCGTGATTATTTAAGCTCATACGAAGTCTATCCTATACCCCATTCACACCAAGGCTTAAACATGTTTTAAAGTGGTTTAACTAAACAGGTTTGGAAAACTATCTATGAACACTGCACAATCTTTGGTAAAATAATGCATGTAAGCTATCCTTTGTCTTGCTCTAACAATATTTTAGAAAGTTTCATTATATTGTAGGTTTCTAGTTTCTCAATTCTTTTTTATAATGAAAACATAGTTTAACTAAACAGGTTTAGGTGTGAATGGGGTACTAGACTTCGTACGAGGCGCATCCCTCTTTGATTATTCTCTAATCACCCAAAACCTTGTTTATGTTTAGTATTTTCGAAATCCTTTTGTTATCCTATAATCATGAGAACTTGATTCTTTCATGCTAAGCATTCAAACCTTGTTATATTTAGCTGAGAAAACACCTAAACTAAATTTGGATGGTAGTCTTCACTATTTGACTCAAAACTGCCAGGCACACGATCACCAACAAGTGCGCAAGAATTTTCTGGGCCTCCTTCTAAAGCATCCCATGGGACAAGCATGTAACTTCAGACCTTGCAAAATTGAGAGCGTCAAAGTGACATGTTACGCTGGACGACACAAACGAAATGCGGATACATTAGTTGTGTCATTTGAAATTGGAATGCCTTTGGTTAAGAATGCTAGTACTGAGATAACGGAACTAGAACAGGAACTTAAGGAAGCCGTTTCATATTTTCAAGTAATGGGAAAGTTTCTCTTGCTAAAAAGATCTACGCCAGTRAGGCTTCGCGTCAGGGATATCAAGTGTGAAGATGGACAAGTGCTGAAAGACGATGTTTGTGGTAAGAAGGACACCATGTTTTCTATCGCGCGCTTTAAATCTTTTTTAAACTAGATGGATGAACAAAGCGCATTCTGATCTARCTTCGCAGGATACTGTATTCTAATAACAGCGACTACTGAAATATAAGGCAATTAAGACGAACACAGAATGCGCAATGTTCGCTTAAAAATGACCTTGTTGTTGAGCAGTTTAAGAGATAAGTCGGTGTAAGGGTAAGATGAATTTTAATTGCCATGGATTAAACTTTTTTTCAACTAGAAATAAATTGGAYCAAGAGTGTTGGCCGTTTTATTCTTTTATGGAGCCTTCACCATTCTCCATAACGATTCTTACGCCTGGGCAAAGTTGTGCAGCGCTATCCTACCGTGCACAGTTATTTTTTTTAATTTTTTACACCTAGCATTATATATGATGCGCGACTCAGGGCGTAGCGAGGTCTCAATTATAGGGGGAGGGGGGGGGCAATGTACCTTTTTACCGCCAAATCCACATGAATCCCGCATGTGTAAATTAAATTTTGGTGACGAAAGCAAACTTTGGGGGAAGGGGAACATGCCCCCTTGCCACACCCTTGCCCCCGCTACGCTAGTGATGCGACTGAGTTTCCCAGAATATATTGAAGGTCTTCTCATATCTGCATTGTCTCTCCTTCAGCTTCCTGTCCACCTGGGCATTTCTTTTCTTCATCGACGCCTTATTCTTGTGTTTCATGTCCTGTCAATCATTATCAGGAGAAGGAGGGACAGATTCGTTGCATTCCTTGCCCAGCTGGGACTTCAACACATGGGCTAACTGGAACAAGACTGCGAACATCGTGTAAACGTACTAGAGGTTACTTCTAGATGTATTTATAAAGAATTACGAAATGCGTATCTTGACAGTGAAGAAAATTTTGTAAAATGCATACTGCTAATCATCCCTTGAGCCAATCATATGGAAATAAGATTAATTTTGATCTTTTGGTGTATTTGAACTTAATACTTAACAGAGTGATTGAAACAGTAGAAATTTCAGGAAATAATACTAAACCTGAAAAAAACTCGAAGTGTTMAGGCTTCGAGTATCCTCACTGTAAATCCTGTGATAAACTATTTTTTGGTGAATTCACGGGAGTCGAACATGAACTAAATCATTTGTGCGTGAAAAATTACTGGATGGTTTTCAGGTTAAAATAAAAGGCGGGGCAGTTTTGAAAACATAGTAAAAACATGTATGACATGTTATGACATGTAGCTCGAGGGTGTTTTTGTGGAGGGGCGTGGTAGAAACACGTGGGCATATATTGAGGATGCGCGCTGCTATCCCGCGAATAATTTTGCGCGCCTTTTAACATCCTGCTATTTGATGCTTTACTTTATATATGAGAAACTTAATGAAATTCCACTAAACTCTGCAACCTTGAAGTGCTACTTATGGAAGCTACTTCTATCATGATGACCTGAGTCAGAACCTGGTTCAAATAAACCAGTAACATTTTTTTTAGAAATCGAACTTTATACTACCTTTTTGGTTTTCCCAAACGTCAGTGAATTGTTGTAAAGCGTAGACCGCTACAATACTTTTCGGACGAGGAGAGAGATACCTCAGTTGCTGAGCGAAATAGGCGCCTTTTCACTGCTGGAAAACATGTAGACAGCTGTCAAATGACAGTGATACGCGCTGCTGGACATCATCCTATAGAATATATAGTATATCTCGATAAGTACCAGCAGAGATAATAAAAAACGAAATGATTTAACAAGAAAATGAAATATACATGATCATAATATCAACACATAGTTAAATAAAGTTATATTTCTTCAAGATATTGTATGATAGTTACATCTAAATATGCGTGACATGCTGCTCAGCAGGAGGCAAGCTATAGTATCTTAAAACCTCTTCCATCATAACAACTCTATAAAACGACWGCACAAGAACAAAAGAAACAACAACCTCCTACACCCACTTATAACTTAAACAAATCACTTTATCACAAATCATACATATACAATGCTTTATATATCCAATATGATATTGACAATATAATGCGTTACTAATGAGTATACTCTTTTTAAAACCCCCTCTTTGAAAGAACGCCTCTGATTGGTCAGATTGTAATATGTTGTCCATATATGGTCAAGCGCTACATTCCAAGTTTGTTTCCCTGCTTGTCTCATTGCATACTGGGTAATCTTGTTGTAATGGCGTCTTCTGAAGTTTACAAAGTTGTCCTTTCTGGCGGAGCTCCTTGGGGTTTTAGGCTCCAAGGAGGGAAGGAATTCCGTGCTCCTTTGAGGATTGCAAAGGTTAGTATTTCYCGGGGTCGCTAGAACTGTTTTGTGGATTTTGCACTCGGTTCTAGCGRGCTGGAATTTTTAAGCGACCGCGAAGTGTCACTCACTTTGTGTATTGATTTTTGATATTTTTTATGGCTCGGAAGTGACGATTTCTGGTCTAYATTGACTCAAAAAAGAAACTACTGCAATAAATAAACCAGTATTTGGTGTTTCGTGCTGCTGTATGAGTATCTTAACGCGGTTTTGAATAAATMTCAAAAACACTCGACTCTCAAACCGCGGTTTGTAAAGCAGTTCGGCGTTAGAACTCTCTTTACTAATCTCATTAATAAATCTAAATTACGCCTTCTAAAGTTTAGTTTCATAATAACTATAATAATGATTTTATAGATATCATCGCTAAATACCATACTTTAAAATTTTAATTCAACAACTTTTACGAAAGAAAATTTTATCGAGTTGTAAACCACCACAAAGCGACCATAAGCTTACTTTGAATTTTCCTTTTTGCGGTTCAGTTCATTGCCATTTTAAAATACTTATTTGAGTCTAATCCTTTTCGACCGGTAGCCTCTGTGGTCTGTTTYCTTTACTTTGTGTGTTTTAAGACTGAGATAAATTGAGCCGGGTTTTGCGGTTTTTTGTGTTTGTATTTTTATGGTAATCTCGCTAACAACTCCATCAGGTTTTCGAAATGAAGATGAATGTTGACATTTTAGTCTTTTTTTTTTTTTTAATCGAAAATTCAATATATTCTGAACCGATAAGTTTAATTTATATTTCTGCTTGTCCATTTGTGTTTACCTTCAGGTTCTATACCCTGTTTATATATCAGAACGCGAAAAGCAAATAATTCTGTATTGGTATTTTTCAAACTTTGATTGTAATTGCACAAGATTAAAGCGTTCTGGACGGGTTAATAGAGATAAACAATGGCCCAAATACAATAGAATGTCTTTAAATTTTACAATCCTCAGGCTGGTGGGAGGCGTGTGTGATTTGCATAACCTGTCTAAAGAGATCTTATTGTTTGGTTAGCATTTGGGAATCCCTGCCATGTTTTCTCAGAGTTAATCTTTAGGAAACCGGCGCTAATTATTYGACATTGTCAGTTAATTTTACTGTTTTTGTAGCTTATATTTCAATCCAAAACTATTTAATTAAATCGTTTGTCACAAACRAATGTTGTTTTTGGTTTTCTTCGCCATTTCCCAAATCCTGTATGATAAATTATTTGTTTCTTTTGGCTTATATTGCATAATTGTTCTTGCTATAGTGACATATATATAATGTAAAGCTCTCCTGGTTTTCTTAGCGTTTTCATTAAAATTTAAACAATTCGAAGAAAGTTTGAAGAAACAAATAATCCTATTCAAAAAAATATACAGTATTCATCTACTCTAAGTAGATTTTCTAAAAATTTGAAAATTCTAAGCAAATGTACTTAAAATAAGTTCCAAGTATCTGCCGACTCTGCATCTAGCTACATAATACAGCCAAGCACAAATATATATATAAGTATTTGTGGTACATGTGTTTCTGCTTAAATGTTATGAAAGTCATTGTGAGATAAATATTATTTTTTGTATTCAATGATTCACTTTATACATTAAAAATAATTTATCGGCACACCAGTTATATATGTAAGGATAAGACTAGAACAGATACAGGATAACATATTGGTTACTTTTGTTGAAAAATCATATGAAACATTGGGAAAGGTGTTTTCTTTTTGTAAATAAATAATGTTTTTGATAACCAATTCATTTTACTTGAAGAAGRGAGCCAAATTTTGATAAGTTAGTGCAGTGTGCTTGTGTTTCTTTCAAAAAGTTTGAATGGAGTGAAGGATGCAAAAGGGGATGTGTCATTCAATTGTCATTGCCAACTTATGAATCTTATTGTGCAGTTCCAGAAATCATCCATACCCACCCCACAGAGGAATTTGGAATTTGGAATTTCTGAAAAGTAGGGGGATCAGAGAAGAACAAAAATTACAGAGTTTGTGTGGAAGAAAATTGGAATTTCCAGTGGGTAAAGGGTGTCTTACAAAAATTTCTCCGTGAGGGGGGTATGGATAATTTTTGGAACTACACATTCTCAAGAGAATGACACATGGTCAGAAAGATGAGAATGTTGCAACAATAAATAGATCTATTTAAAAATATAATTTAGATACAGTATTAAAATCAGGGCTTACAATAATTGCAGGTCACTGACAGGTCATGATGGCTAGCCAAACTAGTTTTAGAAATAAAACAGCTGTTATTTAGAAAACCAAATGCTGTACATGTAAAAAAAAAGATATAGCTAACATTAGGCCTTATTCATTGGTTTCCCATTTTAGACCATCTATCATTCCCTTGAGTATTATTTCTTAGTGTAAATTAATGTTTGAGGTACATACTTATGAGCTGAATATTCAAACAATAAATCTTAGTTTCAAGAAAATAGACTGAAAAGGAAGAGCATTATAACCAAATAAAGAAAAAAAGCATTTAATGAAATTATTGCCCATTGAATCACAGACATTGACAATCACAGTTCAGTCTGGTTCACACTTTTGTTGGAAGCATTATGAAGTCTTATAAGTGTACTGCTCATTTTTCACAACTAGGAGATAAATGCGCATATGTTGCTTACAATTTTGACACAAGTGTGAACCAGGTTTTGTGATTGATTTATGAGAAAACATTCTTGAAATCATTTCACATTATACAGACTTAATAATATAATATAACTAAAGAAACATATACTAAGTACTACTCATATTTTATCTAGGGCTTGAATCATAATAAAATTGATTCTAAATTTTACTAACATATCAACATATGTCAATAGTTAAGTGAAATGATATTTCTTTCAACACAAAGTCAAAAGGTCATTCATTTGCTATGGTCTGTGTTTTTGTTATCTAACTGCTCCAGGGGCTAAAATAATAATTTCTAACATGTACTTATATGTGTACATATGGCATGGTCTAAAACATGGACTGGACTGGATCCGAGAAAACATGGACCAGACGTAGAAAATGTGGACTGTGATAGAAAAAGTGGACTTGGGGTCAGATGCATCTGGATACCTTATCTGTATGTCACATTGACGATCATCATAATGTAGCATATTTTTTCAAATGGTTATGAATATTGATCTTGTGCTGGGTGACTGGCTCATAGGTTGTCATGGTTACAGCATAAGGCTGTCTAGTTTCCCCATTTTCTCTGCAGCAAACATTGTGTAAGGCTTACACAAAATCCCTAATTCCCAGTAACACATAAAGTTCAAAAACCATGGTAAAATAAATAAATAAATAAAGTGTTTCATAGTGTAAAGAGGCAACAGAAATAATTTCTGAAGTGTTTCTGAGCTGTTAAGGGCTTAAAAGCCTACTGCTAGCATTAGAGTCATATTTGTATATTTTGTTTCGGTCAACCTTTTTGGGATTGACTATATATATGTATGTATACAGTGTGTGCAACCATGTGACTCAAAATCCCTTGACATATGAATAGCAATGAAACAACTGCCATCTTGGTTGATCTAACAAGAGAAGCTAGTGAGGAATGCTTTGTTATTGTCAACCAAGATGGTGGTTATGATGTAACATTCACTTGCTCTATATTATAAGTATGCATATAATATGTATAATTAATATATCTGCTGTATAATATAATTGTTTTCAGATCACACCAGGCAGTAAGGCACAACATGCTAATATCTATGAAGGGCTGTATGTACAGGCTATAAATAACCGTCCAAGTACAGAACTGACGCACAGTGATGCACTGAATATTGTCAAGAAGAGTGGAAATCAATTGGAATTGGTCCTGTGCTGGTAAGATTCTAAAAATTAAAACCAAATTAAGGGTCAATATTCGTGTGATAAAGCTGTAGTGGATAGCTTTTTTTTATAGCTTTGATGTAAATTGCTCATTTCAGTTCTCATGACATTCCCTTGAGAATTGTTCTTTTATGACCAAAATGTCAAAATATCAATACACATGAAAGAATCAACTCCCAAGAGTGACATCACAACAAACAACAAAACTAAAAAGATCTATTGTAAATTGTGTTATTGTGTCAATCTAAATGTGTTACAAATTATTAAGTGAAATTATTATGTTTTTACTTGTTTTTTATGTCATATCATATTGCTCACTAGCTTGAAGACTCACTTGATTGCGATGTGATATGGAAACTTGTGTATATGTGTCCCTCCCCCCCTGGGACTCATAAAAAGATTCTTACACGTAATCCCATAGAGCACCTGATAGATCTAACCTAACTGCAAAACAAGACAGAGCTTTGTAATATAAAATCTATGCAATCTTTTAAGAGAGATATCTACATTTAGTTGCTGATAGTTAAGGGTATATAGCTTGGAGGTGCATGACTATGAAATACTGAAATACAAGAACTTGCTCTATTCATGTCAGCATGAGTCAATAAATATGATTTGCAATGACCTTTTGACCTCTCAGTCTTATCATTTTATCTTATCACTTAAATTATAAAGGCATGTTTACTAGTTGTTGCTCAGTAGTGGCCAATTTGGTATTGGTAGACATAATAGTTTATGAATGTCTGTTCATACTAGCTGCATTGATCTTCCTCTTCTTATGGTTTCTATCATTCTCTTTGATATTTATTGAATGTGTATAATCTATAGCTGTAGTTACATTGTATATAGTGTAACTTTAAATTCCAACATTATTGTTCGTGGTCTTTAATAACATATACAATGCATTTTATAAATTGTTTTTGTTCAATTATTATTATACACTGTACATGCAGCGAAAAAATATCTGCATGTGTACATGTACATGTAACATAAGGTTATGGATGACAGCTATTTTTGACCTGACATTGAGCTACTAAACCTAATATAGACCAAAGTTATATTGCTTGTTGTAGAGCCAAACGTACTTGAAAATACATGGCTTTGAAGTTTCATTTGTGTGTGGGTTATAGATTAAGTATTTAATTGGTTTTCATGGTTTGTCTTAGATTATCRTTAACACTTTTAAAGAAACATCATCTGTATTAGCACATTGTCATCATCAAACAGTACCTTGCAAGAAGCTCTGCGCTTCAAATCCTAGATTGAAGAGTCCAGAGTTTGTTAGATTTCTGAACAATTCTCTGATTATTTTATAATAAATGCTGAACAGATTGGTGTCTTCATCTAATTAAAGTAACATGTATACAATTATTTACCTCTGCATTTTTTTGGATTGGGTGTTCAGTCACATTGATCCACTTTTATGAGTTAGTCTTTCCTCAAGTACCCACAATAATGGAGTCTAGAGTAGTGGTTCTCTGTAGAATGATAGCGTGTACGTGGACTTTGTAACACAAGGTAGTTGTCTGTCATTGGTCCTGCATGCATTAGCCAATGTGTGGACCTTATCTTAGAGGAAGGACTCAATGAAACACCCACACTCAATCCCAGCCCTCTAAAGGAATTTTTTCATCAAACCTTTTCTAAGTGATCTGAAAGTTTAAATTAACTTGCCAAGCAATATATAATCATTCTCTTAAGATATCTAAAGCTTCTGTTTAAAATTATGTCAAAGGTAGGCTCCTCAGAGGTTTTATTAGTTCTTTTATAAAAAACAGATAACCAGTTCTGATAAATGTGCCTTTTGATGATGAGTAGCTGTGATTCCAATTTAACCTTTGAGGATCATGTAACAATTAAAGTTAAAATCAAAATCTATGATAATAGAGCAGATATATTACTTTTCCCCTATACAATACCTTGTAACTTGGTTTTCACTGTCTAGATGAATATCTTAATTCATCAAGATTTGATGCTTTTYCCCCCTGTGATATATATATACACATTCCATTTTTGACTGTTGTTTGTGACGGATGATTGTTCATGTATTTCAAGGTGTAGCTATCACCTCTTGACACCCACTGGGTTTTTGTGTACAAGTCAGATCAGATTTCAATCTCAAAGCATCCCAATACTTCTAGGTCTCTGGATATTCCAGGGCTTGAGTTTTTGACCGTGGGAAATAACTAACACACAGGCTGTTCTCTGCTTAAGATTTCCTGCTACAGGGATCGTTCTGTCATCCAGCTGATCCAGAATATTGCACACCATGTCTGACAAGAAAGTTATTTCTACTACAACATTCACGTTTGAACAGTAGGTTTTGATCTGTTGTACCTATAGTGCTCTAACTCAAACTACATCATATTTAAACATTCTCATTTCTATTACAATTGGTATTACAGTTGATACTTATGATTATTAACACTAAAACTATCGATAATGAGATTCTTTACTTTAGTGTTTGTATGTGGTATAGTGTTTAGTCTTTATTTATCATGTTGTTATCATTCATATTTTGCTAGATCATTACACAGCCTCTGAGTCACTCTTTTGTTTATCAGATTCCCTTCTGAAGAACCTAAAAAAATAATATCTTTGTTGGATTATAATTTCAGCATTTTGTTAAAATATCTTTTAGTAGTTTTTTCAAATGTGGCAGTAAAAAAAACAAATAAACCCATTCATAGATTCTGTATGAAGCATAATTATGTTTTRGACCCTTTAATATGTGAGTTATTTTTGTTGTCAAACCAGACTGACTGACATCTTACAAGTATGTAATTCAACTACCAAACCTTCAGTACTTGTGCTGTAGATATGAATATCGTCAGGAGTTCTGCTATAGAGATTATTCATTAGATTATTAATATGTATTGGATATTAGAATATTGAAAACATAACATAGCAGTAGACAGGCCAGGCTTGATTGGAGCTTCTCAGGCTGTTTCCATTAAAAAAAAAGATTTATATCATCATTTATTTATATAATATTGTTATTATGCACACATGTAATTCAGACTTGTGACTTCAAGATGCGTTCTTGAATAAAACACTTTATAAAACCTTTTAAAAAATTTCTTACTGATATAGATTTCTTTGGCTTGAGGGAATAGAATCTTTGGAATAAATATTTATTCTTTGAAAATATTTGATATAAAGTAGAAATTAAATTAAATACTTTGTTTCCCTCAATTGTTCTTATGAACAAATATGAATGGTTTATTCAAGGAAGTAGACCATCAGCTGTAAACAAGCTTCTGTTACATGCTTGCAATTCTGTTCAATAACAACACTTCCATATAAAGGTCTAAATAATGGTAAATAACAAACCAGCTAAATGAATTACATTGTTGAGAACCAGTGAACCTTTAACTGTTAGACCCAGTGCACTTGAGCAGTCGAGCATGGAAAACCTTAATATGAATAATTATAAAATACATTGATGTTGACATACATGCTTCTGTCATTTAGTTGAGTCATATTTTAGAGGCTATATACTTAAAGAGATACAGTACTTTCCTTTTTCAATCCATTTGTTTCTCATTTTCTTTTTGAAGTTTAAAAAGGTATTAACATATGAGTGACTCAGTATTTCTTGATTATAAATTTTTAACACAGGTTTTTACACATTACTCTTCATTTGATGTTACATGTATCTTATACTTCGTATAGCATAGGGTTTTTCTGACATAAAATTTGCTTATTCCATCCAAGTTGTAACAATCCTGTCAGTTCTTAAGGTTTTGAACATTTGTATATTTTTGCAATTTTGAAAAGAAAAATATTCTTATTCAAACTGTTTATAAACTAATGCAGTTAATTATGGCTCAGTTTTCGTGTGGATGTTTCTAAATGAATTAGTGCYGAACTAAAATCAGTGATATATACATTGTTATTACCTGAGTCGTCTTCATGCACTGGCAATCAGCCTACTTGATTTCAAAATTATGTGTGTGTATGTGCATGTTATTTAAGTGTTATACATTTGTGTTCTTATAGTTGGTAGTCTTGATAAAGCCCCTGGGCCCAAGGTGGAAGGGCTATTTTGACTCAATCACCATGCTCAGGAAACATGTGTGAACTCTCTCTTTTATTCAGGTTTACTTTAGACATCTATTTTTTGGTATCCACTGAGTGGTATATGACTATGGAGGGCTTAGAAGAGAGAATTTGGGAAGCCAGATTAATGCAAGAGAACATTGTACAGCTGATAATTTTCTGTCCTCCCAGACATTAAGCAATACTCTCAGTAAAAATATATTATTTGATTCCATGTTATTCAGTTAAAATTCTTTGTTAAGTTGAAATGTTTTTTTTATAAAAACTTATAAGGAAACCTGATTCCAGTGCTGCACAATCATCTAGTGCTGGGGCCTACACCACAGAGGATATCAACAGAGGAACACATGTTTCTAGGGCAACGTTCAAGCCCTCTTCAGAAGCACCCTCCTATGCTACCTTACCTAGAGGACCAATGACATGGAAAGGCGATGTTGATGAAAACTTCAATAGCACATATGTATCTGAAGGTATGAGAATAAAGTTGATTTTAACAGACTCATCTTAAATCATATCTCATTTCAGACCACATGGCATTCCTTTGCGAATTAAGTTATTTGTTGAAATCTCATCTATATTGATTTTTAAAATCACTTGTGAAAAAAAAGGGAATGATTCTTGTGGGAAACAAATGGGGCAATTAATCAACACTGATTCAATGTGTGGATTCAGTAAGCAATATTCATAAGAGCTCTTCTATCAGGGTTTTCATTAAGGGTTGGGGATCAGAGAATGCTCCAATAAATGAGCAAAGTTCTCCAGCCTAAACAGTTTTGCTTAAACATTATTGATAGCTAAGTAATTTATAAAATGTTCACTTAGACTGTCTGGCTAGTTAATGACCTACTCCCTATCATTTCAAAATTTAACCAAACTCCTATTTTATAATATTCCTAATGACCTTATGATTAATTAGGCAACCATGATGTATTGCATGAACTAATGCTGTAACATCTAACATATTTAGTTAGGTTGTTGATATCCTGGCTTCAGTATTTTGGATGCATGTGTGTTTAAGTTTCTTGTTCTTCCTGTTTTAGCTAATAGCAGGTCTGAATGGGACCCCAACATTATATCTAATGTTACAAGGCCTCCTCAACCAATCAAATTGCTGACCAATCCCGAGTCAATCAGATCTTCATCTTCTGTTACTACAGGTGAATAAGTATTCTACTAATAACTGATGAACTGATTCTTACTTATATCCAAAATAATTATTTTACAGCATGATTTTATGTTTGTTTGATGTTGATAGCTTTGTCATTTTATGTTTGTATGTTTTAACTCTTCAGAATTAAGTATAGGGCTTCTTAGATCTTACACTAAGCCAAGAGGTATATCATTGCCAATCGCAAAGCATGACTTTTCCTTAATCGTATTCATAGCTTATTTATATGCCTGTAGTTTAATTTATTCCTTTTTCTTTTGTTACCCCGAACAACCTCTGGGATAACTCAGAGATCAAATTAGAATCTTGCTTGTTAGGTTTTGTGGAGGAGAATGTAACCTAACAAACTCTAATTGCTTGTATTATAAGAAATGTCATTAATACCCAGTTGTCATTTTAATTTTTCAGAATCTTCTCCATATTCTGAGGGCCGTGGACATAAAGGATTTGAAAAACCACAGCCTGTTGGTCGAGGGGCTAGAAGGTTAGTTCACAAGCATTCTCCTGTAGTTAACATTTAAAAATCATGTTAACAATAATTATGTTTTTATTCTTTCCTTGAGTATCATTTCTTTCTTTATAAATCCATAAAGAACATTTATAGTGATGTTGTGTCATTCCATCCAAGTGCTATTGGACCTAATGATTAGTTTTCATTCAATTCAATTTTATATTCAATCTTCATTTAATTTCAAAAATCCATAATATTATGATTGAAATGTTTATTGTAATTTAAGAGTAACTTGTGCATCTGTTAGCTATCAATATATTATTTCCAATTTTTTTTGTCTGGCAAAACACTGTGATAGTTTTCAGAGCTTGCTGCAGCAATAGGATGTTGCACTGAAGCAGCAACCAATTCATATTGTACTATTCTCACTTGCCAAACCTAATATTCAAATTGCCATAAAATTTCCACTATCTTAACATTCCAAATTTTAGTATCAACATTTTGTATAAACTAATGTCTTAAAAGATTATTGAACTTAACACCCTTTAATCACAGCTCATCATAAGATTAGTATAGGAATTACCACAGTTTGAGAAGTATTAATGAAAAATACCACACACATTTGATGCACATGGTATTTTCCATTGATTCTTTGAGAACTAAGGTGGTATTTTCTTTCAATAATGTACATCTATATAAAATATCTAAAATTAGATGAAAGATGATAGCATCGGGCTCCAGCTTTGCATTTCAGACAACAACACACAATGAAAAAAACCCTGGATGTGTTCAATTGTTCAGACTCTTTCAGCTTCTAAGAAGGAAAAATTTACCCCATTCCAAGAATTTGTCTTTATTTGTTTGAGTTGCATGAAAGGTTCATGCCTAAGCGTTAACTGAAAAGAACTATATATTGCTTTTTTATCRTTTTGATTATTATGCTTAAAGCCTGGTTATTTAATGATTGTTAAACGCCCATGGCAAAGCATCCATAGATAAACCAAAGCTTAAAGGGTGGGTCGGGGAATGAGAGGTCAAGTGGGTTTTAATGATAAATTCTGATATTTAAAAGGATTATATGGAGATAAGTTGTTTACAAGGATATTTTTAACCACTCAAGGGAAGACAGTAGATAACGTTTTGTACAAATAATAGCACTGTTCAAGAGGATATTTTAATTTATCTGCTCAAACAGTGAATATTGTTTTGTACAGCTCAGGGGTGTTCTTGAAAGGGTGGATCTTCACGAAAATAACAGTGTCAAAAAGATTCAAATTTATTCCAGTGTCTTGTGTCTTCTGCGCTTCCAAGGTTGATCATATTTTATCTGCTCAAACAGTGAATATTGTTTTGTACAGCTCAGGGGTGCTTGAAAGGGTGGAGCAGTGTCAAATGGATTCAAATTTAGTCCAGTTTCTTGGGGATTGGAACATTTTTAGGCTAGCTAGCTTAGGATGGCTCAGAACGTGTTCTAAAATTCCCATTGGGTAACAGGGCAAAGTAACAATCACCTCACCCATCCCCCCCCCCACCCACCTAACCTTCTGCGCTTGGTTGATCATAAGGCCTTTCAAAGTAACAATAATTGTAACAGTGAATATATAGGATCAATGATAAACAATGAGTTAATATTATAATAGTGTTTAAGAGAAAAACTACTGTGAATTACCTCAGAAATTTTGTTGTAATTTCCACATTTTATGTGACTTGTTCTAAACTAAATTCAATCCATATGAATCCAGTGTATTATTACAACACAAGCCATACCAAATTATTAAATCAATATTAATTTATTTTTATTCATTTTCATAATTAATCAGTCTTTTTCACTTTTGCAAATTGAACTGATATTAATATTATAGCTGTAATTAACCTTATAAAATCTTTAGATCTTAATCATATCTTCAGTTGATTCTTAACTTTTTCCCAATATTTATAACCTCTAATAATTTTATTGGTAAGCTGTAATTTGATGCGTTCTTTATTGATGCTGTTCATAATTTAATTTTTATTTTGTTTTATCCCTTATGCTTTATTTGATGGTTTTTATTATTTCTAGATTTGATGAGCCTTCTCATGAATCTTATGGATATAAGCCACCGTTAGTACCGCATTTTACAATATTACTCATTATAAATAACTATAACAGAATAACAATCCATGTAGTCTAATAGAATAAAATCATATCCTTGTCATACATTTTTCTCTACACCACATTTTCAAAACATTTATTTCAACAACTTTAATTGAACTGTAATTCATACTAAACTGGATTCATAATATTCCATATCTGTTATTATTATGGATAAAGGTATCATTTGAAGTCTGATTTTTGGGTGTTGTTAGATGTTATAACTCTTTACATCTCATCAAAGGTTTTAGCATGATCTAAATCTGCATGAAAAGTTTAGTGTGAGAAATCTAGCAATTAAGCTTGTGGTAGCTCTGGTTAATAATATGTCTTGATTTATCTAATAATAAACTTAATGATTTTAATGATAAACCTTTCATGTTACCAATAACAAAGTAAGACAAGCATTGCTTTACGTCTTTAAATGTTTGCGAATAATTGCTTTTCTAAAAAATAAAAATAAATTAAATGTTAACATAATACTAATTACTAATTTTTATTGCAGTTTAACAATATTTTTATTAATAATGAATTAAAGCATGTAAGACTAATATCTTAACCATAAAAGAAATTATTGCCAAGCAGACATTTATTGGGTGCCGTTTAGAGTAAAGACCAATATTTGCTGCCACTATGGTGCATTTATGCATCTATTGTGCATGTTGCAGCAGACATTAAATGGATACATTGGGTACAGTTAAGATTTAGATACCAATTTTAATTTGCTGCCACTATAGTGCATGTACAGTATGCATGCATGGTGCATGTTGCGAGCAAACATTAATTGGGTGCAGTTTAGATTTTAAGGCAATAGGAGAATATTTTTCACCAGCTGTATCAAACTATTAACCAAGTATTCCTGGCAGCAACCATCTGCTTGCTGATACTGAAATCTGTTGCTGGCTGAATTTTCTTTTATTCCTCTGTCTTTCAGTAGTGTTTCTTAATAATATTGTATTTTCATAGTTTTTTGACAATTTGTTGTCTGCTTTTCAGGTTAACATCAGGCTCTATTGGTTCTGATGAAGACTTCAACATGGCCAATGGTGAATCAAGCAGCCAGGATTCTGGTCCATACTATGCAAGCATCAACCGACCAGCCATGAATCAGTTTAGAAAACAAAAAATAAATGCTGAAATTGAAGGTACTGCAAATGTCAATGATGCTTACATTTATTTTTATAAAGTACGTGTTTATTATATTTAATTTATTAAACTAAAACAAAATACTTTTACTTTTTTCCCTCCCACAGCCACAAAAGATCCCAAACCTCTTCCCAAGAAGGTGCCTCCCCCACCCCCAGCCAAGCCTGAGAGGCGTTACCCTAATATACTAGAACAAGAGAAATACAAAGGACCAAGTAGACCTGTGAGTATGAAGAATTTAATTTTTTATAGCTAGTGCGTTTCATGTTCCTGTTGACATTTTACATTGACATTTTATTAAGTATGAGAGTAAACTGGTTGCTTGGTTGGCATGTACTTTGACAGTGCTGTCTCTAACTTCTGTGCAGTTCACACCTGGGGTGTCAGTTAAATTCTTGACTGAACAACATAATATTGAGTTTGTTTGATGTCTTGTCTCAATTGCCATGAGGAGTCATGTTCCTGTTGACATTTTACATCAACATTTTATTAAACATGATAATAATTTGGTGGCATGTGTGGCATGCACTGCGTCAGTGCTGTCTCTCACTTCTGTGCAGTTCACACCTAGAGTCACGGTTAAATAGTTTAACCGTGACTCCAGGTTTTGTTAGTCAAGAATAACACACCTAATATTGAGACTAACATAATATTGAGTATTTTTGATGTGTTGTCTCACTTGCCATAAGGGTTTTTCTCCAATGTTCTCGGTTTTCCTTCTGCCATATGTGTCAACATGTGAGTAGAGTGTTGTTGTGTTGTAAATAGTCAATATAGTGGTAACCTACAGTACACAAAGTCTACAGATGGCAGATTTAAAACAAGTGCCAAAATGATTTCATTTATACACATGTGACTTGCTATACAACAACTTTGCAGTGCCCAACTTTGAGTTGACATTGTTTTCAGGCCATAAAGAAAGGTAACAAATGGTACAAGGAGATGTTTAAAGAGATGCATGCAACAGCTGGAGGTATGTTATAGTTTTAAGGGTTTTATTAACATGTATAAAGATGTAAATATTTTTCTTCAAAACTTATCTTCTCAGAAAAAATTCAGAGTCCTCCAAGCTTAAAATGCCATAAAGACCTTGCTATGAGTTCACAGTGGCTGAGTGGCTAGAGCATCAGAATGACTCAAACAAAATACAGTCCTTTGACTAAATGTTGTTGTTGATCAGAACATCCCTACCTGCCAAGACTGAAAAGGATAATGGGTAAATTACCCAAAACTTACGTCATCCAAACTGCTCGCCAGTTTAAATCTTCGCCGTATGCTCGAGGCATGGTTTTAGCAAATTAAATGGGATCGAAAACAGCAAGCTCAAGATGTGTTAGATAACATATGCGGCAGCTAGGCACGTAGGGATGAAGGCAATCAAACAACAACGTTTAGTCAAAGGACTGTATCTAATTCTCAAGTAAATGACATGTGGTTTGAAATAGGAAAACATTTCGCCCAAGCTAAAGAGGTGTATAGCTTGCATGTGGTTCTGTAGGAAACTAATTATCTGATTATGATGACTATTACTTACCTAATATTCTCGTGTTCAAATAACCTTGCATTAATATCAATATAACCTTTCAATTTAACCTCTAAACTTGTTATCTTTTTTCAATTAATAATGTCTTGTAACTAAACTAAAAAATCTTCAATGCCATCTATGGCGCTATCAATAATTATGACATTTAATATTTTAACTTAATGTTTTCAAATTGATTTTGAATTAATTTATCGAGGATTAAAAAGCTCTGCACTTCAATTTCAATTCCTACTCTTTGCTAAAAGTTTGGCAATTAATCCGCTCCTGTGATTTTCCAGCATCGTCCAACTTATCTGCATTACTGGCTAATGATGCAGCCAAAGCAGGTGATGAACACAGAGAAGAGGAACTTCATGAACGACCACCATTACCAAGTGACTTTATCCACCCCATGCATGCCAGACCAGTAGAATCAATAAATGAAGAACCATATAAGCCAAGTTATACCAGCCCAGTTGTACCAGAGAGACCATATGTTAGCCCCACTCGCACTCAACCAGTGTCCCCGCCAGGGGGTCATCAGCGGGATGTAAATGTTCCAGCATGGTATCAGGATATGGTTAGAGGAGAACAGATTCCCAAAGAAGAGCCGTTGTCGTATGGGGTTCACAGGAAACAACCCTCATATGGTTAGTTAGGTAGCAGTGCTTAAAGATATTTGATAAACCAAATAACTTTTTCTTAAACTATTGAATCACATCACTTGAGGTAGTATAATAGCATTGTGAATTATTCATAGTGACAATAACCAATCTCTCAAGCCGAATGAATATCTATTAAAAGGTGAAAGCTTATGCAAGAGACCATGAAGATCAGAATGTTTAATTTAGATAATGACATATAAAATTCAGCATTTTAAAGCTATAGACTTTAGTCACTAATTATCTCAGTTAAATGTTCCTGTTAAAGCTTAAAATTTGACATCTTAAGTTATTCAGCTTTATAATTTACCTTTAGTTATCAATATATTATAATTATTAATGACAATATATATTATTTAATCTAAATAATTATATAAATTATATGCACACTTTTTCTCTCTTGACTATCTGATGAAGGCTGTTCAATACATCATAGACATCAAGAAATCATATTAAAGACACATTTGTTTTGTTCTTCTCTTTCTTAAAGTAACTTGAAAGAGTTTCTGAAAAGTCAACCTATGCACAAGTGTTGTTGTTAACATTATGTATTATTCTCAAATGAAGACATAAGCTGTCACAGAAATTATTTATGAATGTGGTTCTGCAACAAGTGTTGCAAGGAGTTGCAGGATTTGTAGATCTCAGGCATTAATTTGGTGGAATTATTTATGAATGTTTGTTGTATTTTCTCCCCATCCATATAGATTCTGGTGATGAAGTTAAGCATCGTATCACAGCAGGTCCTCATCCTCCAGTCCATGCCAATAGACCACCTGATTATGTTGCACCTTTGTCTCGTTCAGCTGCTGATCGTCCGATGTATAAAACTGTTCCCACTACAGTAACAGTACAACAAGAAGAAAGATCCAAACCCCCAACAGCTACCAGCATGTATGAAAGCCGATTCAGAGGCCAACCAGTCCCTGTAAGTACAACATTAGAAAGCATTTTTACCCCGAGAAGGGGGTACTCTTGCCAGTTTAGGGTAGGGATGTGTCACTGAGCCAACTGAACCCTGACCCTGTTCCAGAGTAAAATAGCTGAAATTTATTCATACCCTGTTCCAGAGCAAGATCGCTGAAAATCATACCCTGTTCTGGTATTGCGAAAATGGATACCCTGTTCCAGAGAAAAAAGAGCATGATTTCATATACCCTGTCCCAGAGCAAGCGCAATTTTATATACCCTGTTCCAGAGTAGAATCGCTGAAAACCATGCCCTGTTTGGCGGCACGTAACCGTATAGCAAATATAGGGGAGTACCCCCCCCCCTCCAGATTCTTACCAAAAGTTCCTTTTTCTTAGTGTCCTCTCTATTCAAATTAGTATTGTCATATAAATAATTTAATAAAATGTGTAGTTCCAAAAAATATTCATATCCCACCCATGAAGAAAATTGGAAATTCTGGCAGGGAGGGGGGTAAGAGAAAAAAGGAGAAGGCTAAAAAGAGAGGGGAAGCTTAACAAATTTCTTCCTTTAAAAAGGGGGGGCTTATTAGAGAGGGGGGGGCTTATTTGAGAGGGGAGGCTAAATAGAGGATTTACGGTAAACAGTATTCACAGAATTACAAATTGTCAACACATATTTCAAGATGTAGAATTATTTCGCTAGTATTAATAGAGAGGGGAATGTCAAAGCAAAATTAAGATAACTAAGAAAAAATCCAAGTCCCTTAGTTTGTGGGAATTGAATTGTCAATGGCTTAAACACAAAATTGTCAATAGCCTAAATACATGGATGATTAATCATGGAGGGCAGTGTTTGCACTTTGATTAAGCCAGAATTGGTATTTATAAAAAAAAAACTTTTGAAATTAATGTCTACCCTTCTGGCTTTAAGCCAGCCACACAAGCAAAACTTTTAAAAATTTATATTTTTGGCATTTTGAGAGCAGCCAAGATTCTCCTCCCTAAAGAAATTGCCCCTATCCCTGCCATAACTGTTGCCTTCAATTACAAAGGTTATAAAATTCAAAATGGATTAAAATGTCACATCGCATTGTTTTATAGAGTAGCAGATCTGCATCTGAAGAACTAGGTGTTAAACAAAAGCCACCATCTGATGAAGATTTATTAAGAAAACGCGAAGAGGAGGCCCGACTAAGACGAGAAGAGGAGGAGCGCAGGAGACAAGAAGAGGAACGAGAGATGATACGGCAACAACAAGAAGAAAGACAAAGAAGAGAAAGAGAGGCAGAACAAAGAAGACGAAAGCTAGAAGCTGAAGAAGCTGCTAGGAAAGCTGCTGAAAGACCACAGTTTTTTGCTATGGCTTTGTACAACTTTGATGCTCAAAATCCAAAGTAAGTACATGATGCATGTATCTGGTATTAGCACCTTCTAATTTCAGTATGACATCATTGTTTTTGCTGGACAGAGTTGTTGGCCTGCACCAAACCTCCAGTCTGGAAACTCTGTGGATCACTTACTTATTCTGGTCTCTACCCTTTTGACCAATCTGGCTTGGTTAGCTCTACCAGGAGGCTTAGTGCTCAGTATATTACAGATTCATTAATTTTGTTCCCTTATTAAATCATCCCTTTGTTCATTCATTCATTTATCATTATTTAGTCTGGTCTCAACCCCTCTGACCTGTTCGGCTTGGTAATGGCTCTACCAGGAGGCTTAATGCTCAGTATATGAATATCTCACAGATTCACTTATTTTATTCCCATTTTTGTTATTGATCTTGCATCTTACCTAATTCACCCATTTATTTGTTTCTTATTGTTTTTCCCCCCAGGGAACTGTCATTCAGAAAAGGAGATTATATCATCGTGAAGAGGCAAATTGATAGAAACTGGATTGAAGGAGAACTGAAAGGAAGAGTTGGAATATTTCCAACCAATTACGTAGAGGTACGGCATATTCTGTAACTACATTTTCCAGTACTTTGGGGGATATGATTTCTGTTTTACAGACCAATAATTGTGAACCCTCGTTGCAGAGTCTGATAAAGTATTTTTTGAGCCTTAATTTTGAGCTGCACAAATCAGAAAGTAAACCTCACTTGTGATGGGTTTTCTATTACACAGCTCCGTTTCATGGCTGAAAATCTAACTGGATATACAACTCAGGGGTGGATGGTAGATAGCCAAACAGGTTTTACAACTCACTTGGCAGCTAATAGATTTAATTAGAATTTAGAAGTCAATTTTTAAGGAGGGAGGAAAAACCAGAGAACCCTTGAAGCCCAGTAAAGAACCAACAAACAACTCACATACGACAAATTATAGCCCTGGAATGAAACCAGGGTTGCATTATTGAGACGTGGCACATTAACATTGCACACCATGCAAGTTCCCTTCAAACGTTTTGGGGGCCAACCATCAGCCCCTTTTGTCATAATTCCCAGTTTAAGCATTTTTTTGGAATAACTTCTCTTTTTAAAGTACTAGGCAAATATAGATCTACACAAAAATGGGCATTCCTTAAGCTATAGATGGAGCTATTAAGTGAGAAGGTTCCTACATAAAACGTCCTATTTTCACGAGGGTAGCACTTAATAGCCAGTGGCTAACAAACCTGTAGATGGAGCTATTAAGTGAGAAGGTTCCTACATAAAACGTCCTCTTTTCACAAGGGTAGCACTTAATAGCCAGTGGCTAACAGACCTGTTGCCCTTTTTCCATGATCGAATTGGAATTTAGGAGTTGATTTTTGCGGAGGGAGGAAAACCGGAGAACCCGGAAAACCCTCGAAGCACAGGAGAGAACCAACAAACAACTCTACTCATATACAACACCGAACCTGGCGGGACTCGAGCTCAGGTCGCATTGATGAGAGGCAAGCGCTCACACCGTTATGCCACCCACACTTCCCCAACTTACAATACATAACTTACAATTACAACTCTTAATCAGGCGTATATTATTTATCTAGTTGAGACCAATTGAAGATGAAGAAGAGGAAGCGCCTGTTGAATCACCACCCAGTCCATATGTTCCTGTTGAAGGAGAAGCTAAGGTCAAATATAACTTCAGAGCAGAGTCAGCAAGAGAAATGAGTGTAGGAAAGGTCAGTCTTTCTTTGAATGGGGGATTTACTCCAACAAAGGACTAACGTCCGAAACGTCAGTTTCACAAAGCTTTTTACAGTGATTCAATTTATCCACAATTTCCTGCTGTTTTATTTAGAAACACCGACGCAGTCCACACTAGTACTCTACTAGTTATCACCACTCATTCTATGATGCTTCATTGTATTACTAGGACTCAGAATAATAAATATCATCAATGTGCAAGCTATAGACTGAGATTGACTGGCCAACATATCAAACTTTTTTTGACATGGGGTCTGATTTTTATTTTGGCCAATCTTCTCTAACAGTTTTTTTAATGATTGTTTTTCTTAGGGTGAAATAGTGACTTTGACAAGAAAAGTGGATCAGAATTGGTATGAAGGAATATCACAAGGAAAAAAAGGAATCTTGCCTGCTGCTTACTTGGAGGTATCCATACTTACATAAATTAAATTTTAACAAAATAAATTATGTCAAAGAAATGGAATAGTGGTTGTGGATGTATATAATTAGCAATGGTTAAAATGCTATGGCAATCTTAAATTGTTGACAGCATATATAGTAGGTTACTATTGATGATGATAATGATGTTGATGAGGATGATGAGGATGACCATGAGGATGATGATATTGATGAAGATGATGACAATGATGATGATAATGACAATGATGATTAATTATAATGATGATGTTGAATAGGATGATGATGATAATGTTGATGAAGATGATGACCATGATTATAATGATGGATAATGGCACCTAAATCGCCAGGGCATGCATGAGTTCAAATCCTGTTCAAGACTCAGAATTTTCTTATAATTAGCAGCTGCATAAGTTGCTTGATATACTGTCCAGATTAGCTCAATAAAATAAATTAAACTGATGTTTGCAAAATAGATCAAGACGAATTGGTATTGAAATATCCATTTTCTTTTTTCACAAGGTGCTGCGAGAGCCTGGACTAGTTCCCAAAGCAAGTGTGTCACCTRAAGGTAGTTATTACTCAGCACTGCTCCTCATGATAATGTTGAATATTGATGAGGCTTCTCCTCCATCACACTTTCAATTAACAAGTTGTATAATCTGGCCTAAACGCAATACAAATGGTATGCTATCGAGGATAACAGAACATAGGTGTTTGTGTCATAATTGATGTGTGCAAAAGAGCCCAAGGGACTGGTCATTATTTATTGCTTGTGGGAAGTAGGGGGATTTTTGTTGCAAAAAAATAAAGATGAAATGACCCCCCCCCCAAAAGGCACCATCTGTTTTATGACCCCTCACTCTCCACCCCTCTGTACTAGTGGTTGGTACTTTCTCATCTTTTAGTGATGCCCCCCCTTTGATACCTGTCAATATTTACCTGATCCCCCTACAGTGGTCTAAAGACCATGTGATCCCCCTAAATCTTCTGAATCCAACCCCCTCCCCCTTCCCAAGGTGATAAGTAATGATTGGTTTCATAAAGGACAGTGTTGGTAACCTTTAATTACTGTTTGGCTCATTAGGCACAGAACAGCCAAAGAGACAGGAACAATTCAGACGGGAGGATGTAATAATGAAAAAAGAAATGCCTAAAGTTTCCCACATGCCACAGGAGGTAGGGAATAATGGGACTGGAATAATGAGAAATGAATAGATGAATGAGCAAATGAATGAATGAAGGGATGAAATAATGAATTGACTAATCATAGGATAAATGAATAAGTGTAGAAATGAATAGATGGGTGGATGAATGAATGAATGAATGAATGGATATGTGGATGAATAAATGTATGAATAAATGAATTCCTTAATCATAGGACAAATGAATAAATGAATGAATTGTTGGATGAATGAATGGATGGATGGTAGAGAAATAAATGGGTGAATGAATAAATGTTCAAATGAGCAAATGGATGAATTATAAATATGAGATCAGAATGAATTCATCACTAGAATTGTTTTTGCTAGGTTACTGAAATAAGAAAGACAACAACTACAACTACCACCTATGATCGGTCAGGCCAACCAACTAGGTATGTGTTTTAGGAATATTGCTATTCATTAGGTATACGTTATGATAAATTTACAAAAGATGAACCCTTAGAGTTTTGAGGCTGAATGGCTCATTTCTGTGTTATTTATTGTTATTTGATCCAAACTTTAGTTTGTTGCAGGGTCAGCCCCCTAACAGTGGTTGATCTATAGCCTCCACCCCTAAAATCAGCAACTATTTTGGGCTTATTAAATTATTTTCTTGGATTCAAAAGCAGTGGTGTTTCAAGGGGTAGCTACTAACCCCCCCAAATGCTTTCATAAACATGAAGTATTGGCAGGAAAATGGAGGTATCTTGCTACACCTCTGTTTAAAAGGGGCCATGGTCCCCCTATACAACCTAGATCCTTCACTTAAATAATGGATTGGACTAAAAATGTCGTTGGATTCCAAAGCAGGCATGTGCCCTTCTGCACTCCCTAGATGTATCACTTCTTAACTAACAGCCCTATTTTTTTACTAACTTATACAATAGTGAACTTGCCTGTAATACAATTCATTTTATTGCTTGTCCAGTTATGGTGAACCAATTAGAGTTACTYACAGTAATCAGCCTCAGATGAGAGGTGGGCCCTCACAGCCTCAACCTCAAGTACAGTACATCAGTAAGGAGCCTGAACCTGTTGTCTTACCAGCACAGGTTGTAATGGATGAGCCTGAGATGTTCCCATTGGATGGAGAAAGGTAAAAAAAGTGATTGTATACAGTAGTAGTAACCTCCTTGTCAACCGCTGGCCCTTTCTTAGGAATTTATGGTTCCTAAGAAAGTTAGTTACAGTTGCTATGTCCCAAAAACTAAATAAATTATCTAGAATATTTCAGAACTTTAAGCCCTGATTGCAGGGAAATGATCTCAAATTGTTTCTATTGTTTACTGTCCTTTTAAAATAAAATTATATTGGCTCATAATCCTTGTAGTACTCTTAWAATAGATACTGTGTACTGTAGTTGTATTCCATTTGGGGAAATGCTGCTTCGGTGATTGGTTTGCTTTTGTCCAAGTTTGAACCACGAATTCACTTCAGTGATCAAGATAGATAGTTTTGCATGTGTCAGAAGACATGCCATACTCTTGAGTATTATTTCTTTCTTTACCTTCACCACGGTAAACTTGAAATGTCTTACCAGTAGAAGAACCTTTCAATCTTCCACCAATTCTTTTCTTTCATTCATTCTTTTTTCTTCTATACAAATGACTAGTGATTTTAGTAAACAGAGGGCTTTTTGTCATTTCTCTATTTTAGGTTTAAAGCAACATACAGTTACCGCCCACAGAATGATGATGAGCTTCCCCTTGAAGAAGGTGAAGAGGTGATAGTGTTGGAGAAATGTGATGACGGCTGGTTCGTTGGCCATTCAACAAAAACTGGTTTATTTGGAACGTTCCCAGGCAATTATGTGGTTGCATTATGTAAGTCCATATAGATTAAAATTATTTWAAAAAAACGAACAAAAACAAAACTACGCAATTTGTTGGTAGGGTAACTAGAATTACACAGAGTAATTTTCATCCAGGCCATTTCTAGATCGAATTAGAATTTAGAAGTTGATTTTTGAGGAGGGAGGAAAACCATTTTCAAACCCAGGTCGCATTGGTGAAAGGTGAGCACTCTCACCGCTAATATATTTTGTTGTCCTGTTTTGTGTTTGCTTACTAAATTGATTTGGCAAATCCTTTCCTCATTTACCCCTGACACCCCTCCCCTGGGGATATTAGACTAGCTACTTATCCTCGCTCGGCCAAATTAACCTTAGCAAACACCAAACATTGAAAAAGGGAAATACAGGGACTGCTTTTCTGTCTACATGTGCAAGTGTAGCCCAAAGTTCTGAATGTGCAAGCATGTTACCTCGGCTTTGTAATATGGAAAACCATTGGATAAGTACTTGATTAAGAAATGGACCTATTATCCAGCTAGGCATTATCTTTTCCAATTTCAGATCRCATGACACTCTCTTGATAAAAAAAACAATAAAAGTTTTGCACTACCAAGTGATGGCACCCATGTTAGATGGCAGGACGATTCAATCGTTTTACATAAGAAAGTATTCAACTCCCGAGAGCAAAGGAATTTTATCGTTCTGCCATCTAACCACAAGCAGTCCAAGCTGTTTTATGGGCGTGGACACGTGATGGTGCAAAACCTCTATTTGTTTAAGTTGTATCCATATTTATGTGTCTTTTGATGTCCAACCGTTAAACAAAGATATAATACTCTGGGGAATGACACAGCTTGTTCTGAAATGGGAAAACATTAGATTAGCCTATTACATAGCTTATTTTAAACATGTTAATTAATTAATTAATTAATTATATTAAACTTTATGTCTTTCATGCAGGATGAATCTGGCACAGCATTGATTGGAGCATGAATATATTGATGCCAACGTAATGAGAAGTAGAAGCAATATTTTTATACCCAAATGAATACTGCTATAGCATATTGAGTACAGATCTGTATAAAATATATTCTTGACTAATATTCTAGTGGGGAGGGTCTTCAGGTGATCAATCTCGAAGATAAATTAACGATGAGAAATCTTCTTTCAGTAATTTTTTTTGCACTATTCCAATGAGCTGGTGTCCATTGGCTACTAGTATATTATAATTTGTTGGGGRAAAAAACGAGTAAAATCGTCAGATCAAAAGAATGCCACCTTAATAGTCCCCTTCACAGTTATCTGTACCATCTGAAAGGTAACCATGCCTGTGCATCAGTGAGAATAGTGGTGACCTTGCAATGATAGAGGCATGAATAATTGTCCAAGGTGTTAAAAATCATTGCAAGGTCACCGCAGTCCTCACTTCGATGCATTACCTTTCAAGATGACGCAGGAAACGTTGAAGGGGACTACCCCATAGTGCCCAACATATCTTCTAATTACATGGACCTTGGTCACACTGCAGTATGCTCATGCCAATGAGAATGAAAATACTTTGTTTAATCCTGCATAACCTTGTCTTGAAATGTTGAATGCAAGGCTAAGCATGGAAAACGTATTGTTCCTGTCAGCATGGTTTCAGCGTGAGAAAGGTCCATGGTCTGTCTTCTTGGCACTTTGCGAAATCATTAACAGTTAGGGAAGGTACGTTTTTTATTGGGGAAAGGGGGATTCGCAGTAAACATTTTAATGGTTGTAGCCCTCCCATTTTCACTCAGTAAGAAACTCATGATCCTCCCTTAAAGTCAACAAGGAAAGCGCTTTTTTTCAAAAAAGAAAGGTTTGACCCTTTACAAAAGTTCAAACTTTTACTGATGTCCCTCTCCTCTGAAGCCCCACCCCCCCTCCCCACAGTAAAAACGTACCTTCCCTTACTCCGAATTCCAATGCTTGCCCTAGAATGAATGGTTCCGTTATATTTCATTCCCTAATCCAAAATAGATGAAATTCTTTATGATTGATCTCGCTTGCCGTCAATCGTGATGAATTTCCCCAGAATTTGATACATTCCCCTTATTTGCAGCTGCTTATATCTGAACTGAGTGTCTTGGAATATCCAAATAAGTTTTCCCAACTGACTGTTTGTATCAGTAGTTGTATAGCTTTGTTTTCTAAGAGATCCCCCCCTCCGCCCAATATATGGTGGCTTGTTCCCCATTAGGGTAGCGGGTGGCTGCTATGCCAATAGAATAACTAACTCCCCAGTTGCATGCTTGCCTTTTGTCGTCTTGAACGCGTTCATCCTGTTTCCAAGGGCCTTATAGAGTAGCCGAGTATTAGGGAGCGCAAACTATGAATTTGTAAATTTTAGATATGTAATTGAAAATAAACAAATGTTTCTAAATCTTCGTTAGTGCATTTTATTTTTGTTTTCTTTGTGGAATGTTTTAGTGGTTGTAACTTTCAAAAGACTGCAATATCTTTTCCTTCCTCCAACCCTACCCCTCCCACCTYCATCCAGCTCTTTAACTCCTTGAGAGAATGAGAACAGGTTTGTATTCACTTATTTATTACATTGAATTATTGTCTCGTAATTTTATTGCACTATTCAGATTGCGCACGCAAAACAGTAAAAAAAACCCCGGTATTTCTGGACTAATAGAGAAAAGGAGAGGGAGAAGAAGTAATAAGGTAAATAGATTGCGTGTAATCTTTCTTTTCTCAACCAACAATATCTTCGCATTCAACCACGATAAAATACAGCGCAGAAATAAACAATGGCTTCAACAAAAGCTTATCACCTCGAAAAACCATGTGCGCTTTCTCTATATCTTGCAAGAATTTGGTCTCAAGGGGTGTGCATTGTGTTCAGATCCAAACCTTGTTTATGCCTACCATTTTGAAAAGCTGCTACCAGAAACCACTACAACATAGCGAACAAGTCAAGAGCTAAGCCGTGTTATTACTTTATACTATCGCTACAGCACTTGATCAAAGGTAGGTGACTCAGTACACGCGGCTGTGCAAGTATTTAATAAAATAAGATGGATCTAAACTGCAATTTTAAACAGTTTAAACAACAGAAATATTAATTTTGTATGGTAATAGTCGATTGCATAAAACATAGTCTATCGATGTAAAGCGGTCGAATTCCACAACACAATACTTAAAAAACTTTCATAGGGAAAAAAATACAAGTTAATGATAGAGACTGACTATGACAAATTGCTGCTGTATTTTTATCCGATTGTGTGGGATCCCTGTGGTATTACTCATATTTCTTTTTGTTGTTCAATATAATTTTGGAGATTATTCTACTGGTTAAAAATACAATCATCTTTATGTTTTAACCATATTTCCTAATGCGTTCTTTCAGTTACCTCTAATCCCAAATTTCGTAAAGAGCACACTTTCACGCCTTCGCACGACAGCATCGTATCGCAGGATCGTACTTTTAAAATCACAAGACTGATTTCGAAATTAGTGGTTACCGGTGGCCTTCGACGCCAGTGTGAACCAACCCTTATGAGAAGAATTAATTGCCTGTTTTTTTGCTTGTTATTTTTGGATGCATGGTGACGGAAGTTTGATTTGTATTAATAGAGAGTTTTGGATTTACGTTCACGGTAAACGTGAAACGTCAGTTGACCAGTAAAAAATTCTTTTAAATTACTGAAAAAGAATCCAAGTAAGAAAGTCCAAGTAATAGAAAAACAAAAGAGTATTTGCGCTTGGTGAGAAGGTTTGTAAAAGGTAAAGTAAAATACACGAAAACTATGAAAACGTGGTCACGTTTGCCGTTTGCGGGGAGAAAAAAAAGTCAATCTAAAACTCTCTAATACGTAAATGTGGATGCCTTAATTTTATTCCAATTATTTAATACCACAATGCGTATTCTAATCAAGTATTACAATCGTCTTTACTTTTAAGTCTACTTTGAAATTAAGAAAAATGTTTATTTTCGTATACTAAAAATTTCTAGGGAGCCAAAAATCTCAATATTTGACGCACGCGGAATCAATTTAAAGTCGTGAAAAAAGTTGAAGTTTCACGTTGTCCCCTTAAATTTCCACCACAGGGAGCCCAAACGCCAACTGACGCCAAAAAATGCTTTATAAAAAAATAATCAAAATACTTTCGGCAAATGTTTTGTACTTGAAAGAAAGTCCATTTTGAGCTCTATTAGGATCTTTAAGAAAAWWSTTTGATTTTGCTTTWTTTCATRCAAAACGRGGCGATTGAAATTTTGACCTCGAAATACGCGTTTTTCGGGTTGACCCAAATTTTCGAAAATTTAAAAACTTATTTTTATTACACGAAATATACATCAATAGAAAGCTACAGATGAGGGCTACATAGATCTGACATTATTTTCTTAAATAGATGAATGTGTAATATTTTATGGCTGAATTAATTTTCAGTGAGCAAGCTGTCTGGTCAGCGGTATAGCGTTTTCAGCATTTTCCTTTTTTCACACTCTTTTTGATTTTTTTTCGAAATGAAACTAACACAGCTAGTAGCTCTATAAACCTCTCATATTATGGCGTAAATTAAATTTTCAAAAGTCTGCCACAAGTTAGAAAAATAAGACGCTAAAATAGTTTACTATTTGGGAATCCTGTGGCTATTGAGTTGTGCACMTAACACAGGAAGCCCGTCACATAGAAAGGCAATAAAACAAAAGAAATTTTCACCTTCAATTCCCATTTGTGCATTAGTTATTGTGTTTACCAAACATGCTTTTGAATCTCCAGGGATTGGGAGAATACGAAAATGAGCTGTTCCCTGCATCCGCCATCTTGAAACAAGAGAGGACTACGCGGCGACATTAAAACTTAAGAAACTTGCAGACTACAACTACTAGACATCTGAAATGAAAGGTAATGTGAAGTAAAGACTTTATTTAACATTTTTGAGCATTCTAAAGATTAGAAATAAAGTTTATCCAAACGTTTATTGACGATTGAAATCTGTCTTGAAAGTGTTCAGTTTCATGTGTTTATGTATATAGTTAAGTTTGCCGCGTTTTGCGGGCTAAAAGTCCCTTTTTATGCTTGAATTTGGTTAATTTTTCAATTGGAGGGTTCGTTTGGCTAAAATAAAGCACAAAAACTTTACACTTAACGAATATGAAAATTTTGCTCAACATTAACCTATGCGCATAGTTTATGAGGGATAGAACAGAACTAAGGGCGTTTCGTAGAGACCGAGAGTTAGAAG